GGCTAAAGCAGCGACTGAACTTAGATTAGCAATGGGAATCACGAACAAGAAGTCCTTCTTTAGGTACACAGGGAACAGGAGGAAAAGAAATGGGAGTGCAGGGCCATTGCTCAACAACTCAGGAGAGCTGGTTACCAGTAGCTAGGAGAAAGCTGAACTCCTGAATGACTACTTTGTCTTGGTCTCACCAGTCCAAGGGGAAAACCACACCAGGTAGAGTAGAGGATGAGCAGGGTAGGGATAATCGCCTTCCTACTATTGCCATAGAATTGGTGTATGATCAATTAAAAAAATTAAACGTATAAAAGTCAGCAGGACCATATGATCTTCATCTAAGAGTACTGAAGGAGCTGGCCAAAGTCATTGTGGACCCCCTGGCGAAACTCATCCACAACTCACGGTGCTCTGGAGAAGTCCCTGTGGACTAGAAGAGGGCCAATGTTGTGCTGATACACAAGAAGGGCAGGAGGGATGACCTGGGTAACTATAGGCCAATCAGTCCAGGGAAAATCCTAGAAAAGTTCATCAAGGAGTCTAGCTGTGATAACCTTGCAGAAGGTAAGATTCTGAATGACAGCCAGCATGGCTTCATCACGGGCAGGTCTTGACTTACCGACCTCATCTCCTTCTCTGACCAGGTAACTCGCCACCTGGACACGCGAAAGCAGGTTGACATTGTATACCTTGAATTCCAAAAGGTCTTTGATCTAGTATCCCACGATGTCCTCACAAGAAAATTGGGAGATTGTGGGCTTAACTCCAAGATAGTCAGGGGGGTGAGAACCTGGCTGACGGATAGGACACAGAGAGTTGTAGTGAACGGATCTGTGTCATCCTGGTGAGAAGTGTGCAGCCGTGTCCTGCAGGGGTCCATGCTCAGTCCAGAACTTTTCAACATCTTTATTAACAATTTGGATGTGGGAGTGAAGAGCTTGCTGGCCAAGTTTGTGGACGCACCAAGTTATGGGGGAGCGTGGTCACGCCTCCAGATAGGTTGCAGGTACAGGCAGACCTAGACAAGCTAGCAAGTTGGGCGGATGGGAATCTGATGAAGTTCAACGTCGAGAAATGTCAAGGGCTTCATCTCAGGATGAGCAACCCCCAACACACCTACAGGCTTGGCGGCACCAAACTGACTAGCACCGCAAATGAAAGGGACCTGGGGGTAATAATAGGACACAGTATGAATATGAGCTAGCAATGCGGTGCTGTAGCCAGTAGGGCAAATAATACTCTGGCATGCATCAATCGATGCATCTCCAGCAAAACCAAGGAGGTGATTCTTCCGCTCTACTCAGTACTGGTGAGACTGCAGCTGGAGTACTGCGTCCAGTTCTGGACACCGCACGTTAACAAGGACTTGGACACGATTGAGAGAGTACAAAGAAGAGCCACCTGTATGATCAGAGACTTGCATGGAAAGCCATACAAGGAAAGGCTGAGGGATCTGGGGCTCTTCAGCCTGAGGAAAAGAAGGCTGAAGGGGGGACCTGGTAACAGCTTACTGCTACACTAGGGGAGGACATCAAGGGCTCAGTGAGCAACTGTTCACCAGAGTACCCGAGGGGAAAACCAGGAGTAATGACCACAAACTCCTGGAAGACTGATTCAGGCTCAACCTTAGGAAAAACTTCTTCATGATCAGGGTGTCCAGACTGTGAAATAAGCTCCTTCCAGGGGTGGTGCAATCACCTACCCTGGATTCTTCAAGAGGAGACTAGACAGTCACTTTGCTGGGGTCGCCTGACCCCCAGTTATCTTTCCTGCTTGGTGCAGGGGGCTGGACCTGGTGATCTTCTGGCCTTACAATCTATGAATCTATGAATCAGTAACACTTGATCTCTTCTCCCAGCCATGACCACATACTCCTAACCCTGCATTCGGTGGTCAGCACTCCCAAGGGTGTGGAGGGAAACTGTGGCATTGACCAGGGGAAGAGATGTGCACAAAGTCATGCAGTGGAACAGCCCATGCAGTCTGATCAGTAGCACTATGGAAGCTCTGTCATCTTTTAATTAATTTAATTATTGACATTCCACTAGAATGATAAACAAAGAGCAGAAAACACAAATGCTCAGAATTTGGAGGGGGAAAAAAGCCTTGTCACAGGCCCTTGCTGCTGTTAGTAATAGTGATTATAACATTATAAATGGTACGATAGGAATCCATAATTATCTCCACGAAGGTCAGGGCCCCATGCTGCGAGGCGCTGAACAGGGAGAAACAACTCCTGGCGCAAAGAGCTTTCAGTCTAAATCAGTGCTGATCAACATCCAGCCTATTGGCCAAATCCAGCTAGCAAGACTATGGCATATAGCCAGCAAGGCCATGTCATTGAGCACATAGGGCTCTCCATGGGTTTGAAAATCTGTTGTGTCTCTAGTGGGTTATGGAATAGAGAAAATCCCACACAATTTACTGATTCGTTTGATGCACTGGCTGGGGAAATTTTTAGCTACTTGCACGATTTCACAATGATTACACTCTTAATTCATACAACACAATTTTATTTTAAAATTCTTTGCTACACATATAACACTGCTTAGCTTTAAGAAACACCACAAACATTAAGAACACAATAACTACATATATCAGAAATAATGCTCCAAATGCACTTCCTTCCCAAACCATGCTATAAGAATTAGTATTACAAAAACAACTACAATTACAACTAAAAGTTACATTTGAATCAATACTATTATTTTTCATAATATATTTACAATCCTAGAATTCCGAGAAACCAAACACCTCGATATGCTTTCATTCCTCAGTAGTACAATTTAATGGGTTGGCCTCAGTAGTACGGTTCAATGGACTCGCCTCAGCAGTGAAAGGAACAAGTCCCCTTCCTTCAGTCCCTTTCGGGCGCTCCGCAGCTTCAGCGTGAACTAAGAGATTCGTGTTCATGGAGAGGGTGGTTCAGGTGATCAATCTGATCCAGCCTACACTTGCGATTCTTCCTTTGATGCTCTGCAAGTGAGGTTACCTCCAAATTGGGACAGTAGGTTACAGTTTTTATTGAGTGAGTTGCCGTCTTGGGCCCCTCCTACCCAAACCTGTCACTACTCCCAAATTTGGGCTCGGATCTTACTCAACAGATTCTTTTGCTTGGTAATCAGTTTCTTTCTTGACTATTCTAATTACTTTAGGGAATTTCCATATCACTGAATTGATTTTTTATTTCCAATCTTGTCAAAAGGCCCTAGGGTTTGATCTCTCGGAATTTGGGATATTTGCTTAAGGGTCATTTTTATGTTAACTTTGTTAAAGGCCTCTAAAGATAAAATTCAAGAGTTAAGACTTTGAGCAAAGTCAAGAACTTCTGCACGTAGACCAAAACAATGGCCTAGATAAGAAGATAAATCTTGTCTTTTTCTAAACTGGCTAATGGGCAACTATTACAAACATTCAAACTATTACATTCAATATGACATGTTGGTGGGGCGAGAGTGGTGGTAGCATGAATTGCTCCCAGATCCACAGCAATTAATCCTGCCACCAAGGCCCCACTGACAAATTTCTTACCCCACGGGGAGTCCCATTGGCTAGGTGACATGGCCCTTCCTGCCAGACCATATCGGTGTGCACAGTTGACCTGTAGCCAAATCTGGCACGCGGTGTCATTCCACAGCATGACCCAACAAACAGGGCCAGGCCAGAGTGCTGGATTGCACCCATGAACTACCCGTGTGTGTGGATGCCATGCTGGATCCAGCCCAAGGATTGACCCCGTGTCATTCCCCCAGCCTGCAGGCCCAGAAGGTCGAGCACCACTGGTCTAAATGAATCCAATGAAAAGGGAATCAGACGAAAAATCAGTTGCCTGCAATTAGGGGTACACCGATAGAGATTTTTGGGGCCAAGACTGATAACTGATTTTTCAGGGAACATATTGGCTGATACCAATCCAATTTCCAATACAGCTGTGTGCAGGTGCTAAGTCTGGGGGTGGCAGGTGTGGGGGCTGGGAGGGAAGCATATCAAGGCCCCTGAGGTAAGGGTTGGGGTGGGCTGAGGCTGGGGCAGGAGCTGCCCAACCACGGCGGGGAGGGGCACAGGATAGAGCCGCAAGTGGCTGGTCTGGGGGCAGGGAGCCGTCTAGCCTCTGGATCTATGCCATCCGGGGTGGGGTTGGGGGTTGGGGTCAGGGCTCGGGCATGCCTGGAAAGCAAAGGGGGTGGGGAGGGGGCTCCCGCCACTACTCCCACCACTCATGCAGGAGGGCACGTGGGGAGTGTGTGTCCCTGGATCTGCACCAGGAGGGCTGGGGCCAGGCTGTGCTGGGCTCTACCCAGCTGGGCAGATTCCCCCCTCCCCCCATGCCCTCCCGGACTAGCAGTGCACAGCAGCCACCCTCCACCCCCCTCTTCCCGCACTTCCTTTGACAAGCCACGGTTCTGTTCCACACCTGCCCCACCCGGGCTAGACTGCCTCTGCCCCTGCCCCTGCCCCGCCCCACTCCCTCCCTCACTGCAGGGACCTTGACCTCCCCCCAGTGCCATTTCCCTCCCCTTCCACCACACCAGACTTACTACCTGCAGGCAGCTCTCCACACTGCTAGCCGTGTTCCTCACTGCCTACGTGCTGCGCTGCGGCTGCGCGCGTGCATGGGCATTGATCGTACAGATTATCACCCGCATTGGGCTGATTACTGATACAGAAAATATTCTTTATACCAATGCCGATCTGAAATCAGAACAATGTATCAGTGCACCTCTACCCAAAATGGCAGAGCCTGGAACATAACCCAGGAGTACCCTGAGTCCAGCACCTGCCTCCTAACCCTGGTATAGGAAAGATGCAGCCAGAAATGCTGGCTTAGTACTTCTACACCTGCTGTGCCCACCATGATGGGATCGACCTGATCTGGGCCCACACACTCTAACAGTGTGGGTACCTGGTTTACATCAGTGTGACGGGAGAGCCCAGTGGGCACTGCCTGTCCTGCACCACCTGGGAATTTGGTCCCAGTGGCTCTGATAGAGCCACAGCAAATTCACCACAGTGGGGATCTGGCCCCATGACGCCAAATGCCAACCCTACTCCACTTCCCCACCCTGCTCTGTCACTCCTAGCCTGACACTCAGCACCAGTTCACGTTCAGCAGCTGGGCAAACCACAGTGGCCACCCGACCGGCTGCTCCCAGTACTGGACCGTCCCATTGCCATCGGCATACACATTCATCTTTCTGTGCCCCTCCCCAGAGACGAAGGTCAGTTCGGCGCCCCCACACGTCACCACCAGCTGAGCGTCCCACAGCAGGCACTCCAGCTCCCGTGAGACCTCCTGCACTGCCCGCTCCAGGCACTGTCCCACCAGCTCCGGGGCCCTACGGAAGGTGAGGTCCTGCTGCACACTTAGCAGGCTGGTGAGATTGAGGGGGAACTGTCTGAGCTTCAGCCTGGACACGTAGGCCTCAGTGCTGTTGACTTGAATGTTGTACTTTGCCTTGCCAGCGATCCAGGCCACCTGGATCTGGGCCTGCCCCTTCCCAGACTGGAAAGCCTGGGCTGTCCCATTACAGTCCAGCATCAGCCGGGCGTTGCTCTGCACCATGGCCGGCTCCCGGCGGAACTCGCGCAGCGCCACGTCCAGGCAGTCCCGGTAAGCCCCCGGGCGCTGGGCCTGGCTCCGGGCTCTCAGCAGGCTCCCGACGCTCAGCTCCTGGGGACGGGGCGGCTCTGGGTGCCTGCAGGGCGTGGTCTGCCCACAGCGCCCGATGACCATTGTGCTCTGGTGCCTGTACGGGCTTGACAAGAACCATGTCTGATCAAGCAGAGCCAACATGACGATCAGGAGAATGCAAAACAGAAACCACACACCATCTGAGGGCTTGCTCTTCCTGACAGAGCATTGCCAAGTGAGAGGAGCCAGGCCTCGCACCCACGTCGGTGCTGCAGGCACCTGACAACAGGATGCCCAGGCTCCCCTGACTCTCCCGAAGACTCCTGTGTGCTTCTCTTTGGAGGAGCTTCCACAGGGACCACGCTCCTGCCCAGGCACCAGCAGGGGCTCTGACAGGCTCTCGTCGTCCTTCATCCTGGCGAGAGCTGGGAGAGCAGAGGGGGAGTGAGGAGTGCAGGTAGGGTGACAACGAACCAGGGCACCCACACGCTCCTCCCCAAGCTCCCACACCTAACCTGCCACACTCTCCTCCCACCTCCAAGCTTATATTTGCCACCTGGGTAGTGCAGGAGTCGCGGGTGTTTCTCTGGGGTTCGGCTGGACACCTAACCCAGAACCGCAGGGCAAGCCCTCCTGCTAAAGCAGAGCGCAGGCAGGCAGACCCCTGTGCCTAGGCTCCCTGCAAACACCCCAGTTCTTACCAGGTCTGGTGGCCCTGCAATTTGCCTGGGGGAGACACCCCAGGAGTCCCGACATGCAGCACTAGCTCACTGCACTCCCTTCCCCTTTCCTCCCAAGCGGGGCCGAGAGCCCAGCTCCTTCCTCTAATGGCTGTTGGGTCTCTGCAGCGCCGCACTCCCGGCCTGTCTCTGGCGCCAACAACAGCTGCGCTCTGCTGTGGCTGAAAGCACAACAGACTGGGAGGGAGGCACGGGCAGCGCAGAGAGGGGAGGGCAGCGGGTTGGGGAGCTCCAGCATGGCTGGGGGGCTGCTACTTACCCCTGCCTCTGCCCATGAGCTGCATGTAGGGCTGCCTGGACCTCTGATCCATGCAGCAGCCTGACAAGAGACTGAAAACTGATGGACATCCTTCTCCAAAACACACACAGAAGAGGAGGGACTCCAGGCTGTTCGGTTTCGGTTCTCAGTTCTTTGCTGTGGGAGGGGGGAGAGCCCTTTGGGAGCAAGTGAGCTAAGACTGAAGGCAGGGAGCTGGGCATGCTCCCTTACGTGTGCTGAAGCTGCTGCCCTTTCCGAATCAGCTCCCAGCTTCACCCAGGGGCTGGGGACAGCAAATTTGAGGCCTGAACTGGGCAAGAAAGAGGGAGAAAGACAAACAGAATAGAAAAGGTCTGCAAGCTAGGGCCCAGCTGCCTGCAGGTAAGTTTATCGGGGAGAACGGCTCCTGCCAATGGATGCACTCGCAGAGAGTTGGGCATGTGTGAGCACTAGGTGGGTTTTTGGAGAGGCCCACCCTAGTGGGTGGGACAGTCCCACAATGGGAACCTCAAGTCTCGGTCCCGGGTTGCATGACTGCAGGACAGGATTTGTCCTGGAGTTGCAGCATCGTGCAGGGATGGGGAAGCGGCATGTTCCCCCTTGCAGAAGGGCAGTGCTCCAGCCTGCTAGGGACTTCTTGCAATTGCTGGGAGCAGGATGCAAGAGGCCCTGTGCATGTGCATTTTACCTCCCCCCACCATCCTGGGGCCCACTGCAAAAATAAATCAGCACCTGTGACTGCACTGGGGCTGCATCAGCCCCCTCTGGGTTCTCCAAGCCCCTTCCCCAGCACCTACTGCTGGGAGACACAGAAGCTGCCCCATGGGTGGTGCTGCAATCAAAGGGCCTCTAGATCAGTGCTTCTCAACTTTTTGTACCAGGACCCATTTGTAAAGATCGCTGGCCAGTCCCAACCCAGTGCCCCTCACTCCTGACCTGCTCCTCCCTGACCCGAGGTCCCAGAGCCCCCGCGTTTTGTTTTGGATGAACCTTAGTTTTGTTTTGGATGTGAACTGAGATTCTGGACCACAGCAATGTCCTGTTTCCCACACCCCACAAACACCTTCCTCTTCTTTCTTCATGCTGATTTCATTTTGTGGGTCCAAACAGGTGCTCTGAGAACTCCCAGACAGATCATAAATAACCGTCTGACCTCAGCATGGAAGAGACTGTGCAATGCAAGAATGAGCTGAGGCCAATTGATGTCCTGGGAAAGAAGAATGAGCTAGAGAGGACTGGGATGCTGACTGAAGGCCTGGCCATCACCATTTGCCGGGCCCTGGAGCTGGTGGTGGACTTCAAGAAGGATATCACAATGTACAGGCACTTAGAGAATATCCAGCTTGTTGTCCAAGCCGATGGGTGCTGGCTAGAGTTCAGAGCAGGAGCTGCCAGTATCACAGTGCTGGTGTGGTATGACCAGAACAAGAAGGAAGCTAACGTCTCCACCCCATTTTGGAAAGAGAGGTGAATGTAATGGATGTCCCCCGACATCTCAGTCCCTCCCCAAATAAATGCCTCTGATGGCTACAAATTACAATCTGTTTCTTGGTGGTGTTTAGTCGTGGGGCTCCCTGCAGCGCCCCCCCCAGCACCATGCCCTGGCATTGAGGTCAGCACTGATGGTGAGGGGAGAGGGCTCTCTACTGAGCCCCACTCATCTTCATGCACAGCACCCTCTAATACTGCACAGGGGCACTGTTGTGAGCACTCTGCATCTGATACCTCCAGCCCATTCCCTGCTGCACAGCACTCCCTAGCATCAGCTTGAGAAACATGAGCTATCACAGAATATGTGGAGATGCATCCTGACCCACGCATCTTGCTCTAATTTAAACTTCTGTTCTGCATCAGGCTTGAGTCTGTGCTCATCACCATTGTATTTGAGCACCGTCCACTTGTGCATTAAGCCACACTAGCCACGGAGTCTTTGTTCTCTCAGAAGCTTCCCAGAGAGGGCCCGGTCTGGGTTCAGCTCTTTGCCCTGTTTCCTACTCAGATTAGCCTGTAATTACATCAGAGCAGGCATATTGAAGGGAAGGAGAAAAGGCACGCTGCTTCTGGATAAACTCTCCTCTGATGGTTTCTCTCTGCTAGGATCTGGAGGGTCCTATGTCAGGTGGCCAAATAGCATTTATAGACCAGTCCCCATCCAAGCAGGGAGGGCAGAAGTAAGGAATAGTAAAGAGGGCTGGGAAGAGAAATAAGTCTGGGAGAAACCCAGTGGTACCCTGATTCATTAGACCCTGCTCTTTCTTAGAAATGAGGATTAAACCCAGGAGCGAGGAAGCAGCCCTGCAAAGGCTAGGGACAAAGGGGCCGATGCCCAAGTGGAGGGGCTGGAAGTGAGGGGCTGATGCCTGAGCAAGTGAATGGAATTAGAGTAAGACCCATGAGGCATGGGGGTGGCTATGGGGGAGGCTGGAAGCCATGATTAGTGCCTCTATGGTGATTAGGGCCAAACTGGTGTCCATAAGCCTAGCCTAGTGCTAGCATGGCATGAGTGGTGCCAGAAGGGCCAGAAGGGAGCAAAATAGTTGTTATTAGTGAACTGAAGGTGTGGTGATGAATAGGACCAAGGTCCAGTTGAGTAAGTTAAGTGATGCTAAGGGCAGCCCCACCAGGACCACTCCTGGATTCTGGGACAGCCTCCCAACCTAATAACATTTCCATCCAGACATGACATGAAAATCAGTGAGGGGATACACCAAGGAGCTGGAGTGGGGCAGGATTAGCGCAGCCACCAGGAGGCTGTTCCTATCACAGTGCCCCCAGAACGATCCTAGGCCTTGAAGGAGATGCCTGGGAAAGGGTTGAAGAGTTGTGCATGTGTCTCCTCGGAGGTAACTGGATTGTGAGTTGTGAGTGACTCATCACAGGCAGCAGAACAGCAGGTCCTAAATGCTGGGTTAATCTTACAGAGGAAGAATCAATAGCAGGCAGTTCAAGGCAGAGAAGAACTGCTGCTGCCTGCCAGCCACTGCTGTGGGATGGGGACGAGTGCCGGACCAGTGGAATGGGCTCCCCAAGGCAGCAGGACAGGCCGCATCTCCACACATCCTCAGATCCAGCCTGCCTAGAAAGTGCTTGTGTGAGACAAAGGCCTGCACCCTCTGGACTCAGGTGACCGGGAGAATTCCCTGCCGAGGTCAGACAATGTGGCTGGCGCACTGTACATTTAATATTGATGAGCCTACAGGCCTTAAAAACAATCACCCTCTTTCATGAACCCAGAACTCCTGCCTTGGGGATTTTTCCTCTTCTTTGTCCTTCTCTGTTTCCCCTCCCATTGGACATATTTTATTCCCATTCCTCCCCTCACATTTGCCCCCCAAAAGCCCCTGGGTGGAACAAGGAGCAGATTCCCAAAACAAAAAAGGGCAGTGGCTTCAGCATGCCCAGCTGCCTCCTTTCAGCCCTGGCTTGGTTGCAGCAAAAGGGCCAAGCCCCCAACACACCTGCCTCCCCTCCCCTCCCCTCCCCTCCCCTGCACCTGGGTCTGCCTGAGCATCAAAACCCAATACCTAAGCAGAGCAGAGGACAGGACTGGTTCTTCCCACCAACTCTTATGAGCAGGGCACCCCAGGGAATCCCAACCGTGCTCCTCTGGGGTGCAGCAGCCCAGGGGTGGCCTTTCAGAAAAGCCACAAGGCACTGATCACCCAGCACTGATACGCAGCTCCCTCGGGTGGGCAGAGCAGCTGATTAAGAACCACACAGTGACCCTGGGGTAATCCAGAGCCTTTCCCCAAACTACTCCCCCCTCCAGCTGGGTCTCCCAACAGGGGTCACTGCACAGACCGAGGCTGTGTCTTAGACTCCAGGGTTTCCTGGGGCTTCCAGGCAACAACAGACTCATCCCTCCCATGGCTTGGGGAAATGCACTGAGTGACATGGACATTAGAGGTAGGGGGATTAGGGGAGAGGGACTGGAGTAACTGGCCCTTGGATTGGCTGGAGCAGACACCAGCTCTCACAGCCAAGGGCCAAGGGCACAGTTTGCAGGAACTATGGCAATCCCCCACTGCACTGCACGGGGGTCTGCAGAGATGGCACAGGTGGCTGTGGAGCAGGATTGGGCCCAGACAGCCACACATGCAGCCCAAGAAAAGGGTCAGAGCTGAGGAGCACCTGCTAGACATACTGGGTCACCTTCCCTCACCCCACTAGGGCCCCCCTCTTAACTCTGCCTATGCCCCCTTGATGACACCAAAACTCATGCTAAGCTGGGGCCTACTCACAAAAGTTAAAATAAAAAATGCTGATGCTGACTGCACAGAGCAAGAAGATGCCATTTCATGGCTAGGCCATCTGAGAAGAAATAATGAGGTATCCCTTCCAACTTATCTTCTATAATCACGATGATTTCAAGCTGGCTCCTGGTTGTCTGGTATGTAACCGTGTGAAATGTCTGTCCTTGATTAATTAGCATAGTAAATATTTCTTTTGAAATTAACTCGTGTTAATTTCTCACGTGTTAACTCGTGTGAAATTAACTCGTGCGTAGGAAGGAAGAGACATCCTCCATATGTAATAGGAGCCTCCTCCTGATTTAGTTCTGGTTTTGTGATTTACCTTGTTTTCCAAGGACACTTGTGTTTTGCCTGGTTGTTAATTAGTTTCTTGAGATGGCCCAAACCGGATAACCCCATGTCATTGAGAAAGGCAATTCATTCAAACTGGAACTTTTTGAGAACCAATAATGAGCTGTCTGATTAACAGGATTGTCCTGTCAATTGCTGCTTGGGACTTTCTCTTGATTTACGCACCTACAAGTATGCTTGGAAGATGCTGGACTAAGGGTATAAGAAAGCGGTGAGATCTCTGACAGGGCGCAAGAGTGAGAAATCTCTCTGACACCAGCCGCTGCTGTGCCCTGCATACTCGAGAAGTTGAAGAGAAACAGACTGCCTCTTCGTTGCCTGTTTGGTGAGAAATCATCACCTTGTAGCTAATTATTAGACTTTGATTTGGTTTGGACTCACTTGACTTGACTTTGAATACTTGTAGTAACGAAAACCTTTCTGTCACTCGGCAAACGAGGTGTCTTGTCAATCCCTAGGCTAGTCTAGAGTCCTAGGTTTTTAGGGTTAGCACCCCCTCCCACCCCACTCCTGTCTCAGTGGCTGGTCTGGAGCAACACAGACAAAACACTAGTTACAGCAACAGCAGGGGGCTCCTGGTTTCCCTCCCCAGCTTGGAGAGGGAGCGGAGGGGAGGGGAACCTAATGGGTTAGGCATCAAAGTTGGAAC